ATATATATATATATAGAGAGAGAGAGAGAGAGAGAGAAAATATATTATATAGTGTTTAAGTTAAAAAAGAAATGTGTTTTAGATAAAACATTTGAAGGCTATTTTGATTTTATAGATCAGAAATGATAGCATGAAAAATTTTAATATTAAAGTCTTTTTTCAGCTCTAAAAACAAAAACTTAAGTACTGAATGTTCAATCTAGGGATACACTTAGAAGTGATCGGACATTGAGTTTATATATTTAACTGCAATTGTTTAAAATTGAAATCTGATCAAATTTATCCACAATAGTTGTATCAATAAATTTAACATTTATTTCAGCAATTTATTTCTTTATTTCATATAAAAATATTTTAAATTTTTATAAAGAAATTATTTGAAAAGAAATCACTTAGTGAACGTCTTTTGTGAAATTTAACTTGATAAATTGAGATAATTTCAAAGCATTTCTCTGGATGTGGTAATATATATTATTATTTTATAATTTCTTAGAAAAATATATTTAAAAAATATTTAAAAATTATATTTTTTTCCACAAAAGATTTAAAAAAAAAAAAAATTTAAAAAGATTTAAAAAAATTTGAAATAAATAAAATTCTGGCTAATAGATTTTCGTATATAAAAACTTAAAATTATTTTTTTGTAAAATTATTTATTCACATGAACTGTATGAACTGACTGATAACATCTTCAACTGTAGGTATGTATGTAGGCATATAAATAATGAAATAAAAAAATTTCATTAATTAATTTAAATTAATTTTATATATTTATATAGGTATCAAACACTTTTATAATATATAAGTTAATGGAATTTATTTTTATGACACATATTTGGATGTTTTTAAACTATTTAAATTATTTAAATAAAGCAAGCTTACACTATATAATTTTGTCACTTTTTACTGAAAATTTCTTTAAAACAAAGGCGTTTTGAATTAAACCGAAACGCACGATCTGACGACCTCACCACTTCGAGCAAACAAACTTAACTGATCAATGGTTTCGAATATCAAAGCGATCGCAAAGCGGAGGCGATCGAAGGAAACTGTGTGGAAGAGTAGCGTAGCAAAGAGGGCTCATGAATCAAACATTTTTTAAACCGCGTTTAGTGTACTTCCAAATCCGCCATATGAATTCGAAATGAAATGTCAAACTGAACATTCATTCCACGTAACTTCGGACCGCGCATAACGTGTCAAACATTTGAACTCTTGTACTTTCCGTATCGCGCTTCCGTCAACTTAAACGTGAAAATTAGTTTAATTTTTATTATTAATGACACTGAATTAATATAAACTTCACTAATTCCGACTCTATAAAATCGCAAAATTGAAAGTAAATTAAATAAAATTAATATATAAAGACATTGAAAAATTAAAACGACAGTTTGTGTAAAAAAATAAAACAAATTACTTTTTTTTGCATTTTCAATTTAAAAACATTTTAGTGCATATATCTTAGTTTATATATATTCGCATATATAGGCCGTGTGCGAGTTCGGGTAAATTGATGGTAAATTGAAGGAAATAATAAATTATGTCGGTATGGCAGCGAATGTTGGTATTTACCAAAACTTCGAGTACGGTAAATTAGATAAAAATGAGGTAAATTAGGTGTTACCATTGCGAAAATTTTATAAAATGTTTAATAAATAAATATGAAAAATTTTAACAAAACATAATAATAAATAAGTGTAATAAATAATAAATATTTACATAAGTGTAGTGCAAAAAATCTCTAGGAAATTTCAATTTACTTGAAATCAATACCTCAATAGAAATACCTCAATTTACTCGAACTCGCACACGGCAATAATATTATTAGGTAATATATATTATTCGATATTTTATGATTTTTAAAAAAATGATAAAAAAGAAGCTATAGCTTTTCTATTAAGCACATAATTTTAATTAATGTTAAATTAATCTATATTAATAATAAAAATAAAATTAGAATGTAAGAAACAAGGATTTCTAGCTTATTGTAGTAGAGAGATATAAAAAATCACGGAATTTAAAAACTTTAAACAACAATTATTAAAGGATATGTTACAAAATATATTTGAATATATATTAAAGGTCCAATCTTGCCTACTTCATAACTCTAGTCATATAACTATAGTCATATCCGCGAATATTTTTTAACATCTATAAATTATACTATATATTAATCATAAGAAACTGTATACAATATCACGTTTTCTATTTTACTAACAATTAAAATTAAACATGGTTCATATCCGATTCTAATTTGTAGCAAATATCTACTTTTTGAATATTTAATATTCATAATTGTTCAGTCTTCATAACACAATGAACACTTAAGTGTTGATTTAATATTTAAGTGTTAGTTATACAATTTTAAGTGACACTTAAGTACCCAATATCGAACATATAAAGTTCACTTAACTTAAGTGTGCATTGTAATATTGGTTTTTAAATTACTGCATCGGTTGGAACAAAATGTCATACTTGGTTATTAGTGATTTGATTGACTTTAATTTCATGTCTTTTAAAACTCAATTGAAATTTTCTAATTCGAAAAAACTACAACTGAAAAATAAATATATTCAAAATTTCTAAAGCTATCCATATAAAATTTGCGTTATGTGAATTTAGCGGGATATAATATGTAGGAAAAATTAGCAGAAATTTTTTTAATATTTTAAAACAATTTAATTTCTATTTTTTGCCATTGTATATAAAATCAACAGACTAACAAACCGTTCGTGGTATAAGGATTATATGCCGCAAAAATTTCCTATTTTATGTTTTTAGTACAAGTAATACAAGTATTATAATGTAATATTGTCTTAATAGCTATCTTATAAATACGTAAACAATTCTTTTTGGTTTACACATGTATATTAATTTTTTTAAATGGTTTGGAACTAACACTCCATAACTTTAGTATGGAAATAAATTTTTTAACAAATCTAAAACTGTTTTCACAGTTTTACTAACATTGAAGTGGAGCCCAATGCACGTCAAACTATGTGCAATACAATAAGTTTGAGATTTTAGACTTGTCAAAGGTTATTGTAGGTATATTGTCTGATATGAAAATATGTGCGGTGTTACACACACCCACATATATTGGCAAAAGGATAAATACATATATTCAAAACATAAAGCTATAAAAATAAAATAAATTCATTTACAAAATCAATTTCCATTTATGGATGATGACTTAAGAATGGAAAAAATTAATATCATACGAACGGATAGTTACATCTTAAACTGATCTCATGAGCTTAAAACTTAAGCCTTTGGTTAATTATTTTAATTTATTAATAAAATTTTATAATATAAATGATTATAAATTAAAATTTAATTTCTTGATGATGAATTTAGACTAAATAGAGAATATCGATGAAATAAAAATTATTATAAAATAAATCGTGTTTTTTTTTGTTTATTTTTTAACAACAATAAAACATTTGACCAATTAACCTGTGAAAACACTATCGGCCTTATTCATAAAAAGTTATAGTAGATTTGTAATACATTTTATCGAAAATGTTATTCATAAACGTTATTTAACAGTGTTATAAAGCATTTATAAAACTGTATTCATAAACGTATTTTAAAGTTAAAATGTTGTTAAAATGCTGTTAAAATATGTCAAAATTTATAATAGGTTTATACCTTCTATAACAGCATTTTAAGCACAATTTTTGATTGTGTACTAATTTTTATTGCGTGAATTACAATTAAATATGGATGCCATAAGCATAATTAAAGAAATTGGTGAGTATTTAATTTAATTTTTTATATAATTTTATATAATTATATAATTTTTTTATTTTTTTATACAATTAAAAACGAAACTATTGTGTAGATTTTTTAAATGGAATAGCCAAAAAAATTGTCGCCATTTAAAAATATATAAACAACGTGGATATCCGTTTATGCTGCGGGATGATGAATTTCAACTGAGGTACCGATTTTCAAAAAAGGGCATAGAAAAAAATAATTGACTTGGTGAAACAGGACTTAACGTTTGATAGTAGAGGCGCTGGAGCTTCCGCAAGATTACAAGTTCTAGTAGCTTTGCGATGTTGGAGTCGTAGAGAAGTAACTAATCTTTTCAAATACTATTACATACTAAAAGCTTTTAATATAAAAGGTACAAGACGATGCAGGTGATACAATGCTGCACACATTGCCACCAGAAATACAATTGAAAGATGCTTTGGTGTGTGGAAGCAAAGATTTCGTTGTCTTCTAGATGGGTTGAATATATCATTGGAGAATGCGAAAACAGTTATAGTCGCACTTGCAGTATTGCACAATCTTGCAGTTACAATGAAAATGACTCCAAAATACCTTATAATGACAATTTTTCTGCGGCTATCAACTTTAGTTCCTTATCTGACTGTGAAGAAATATGTGATGATAATTCAACAAATCGAAAGAAACCTAATGTTATATTAAAAACATTTATTGAAAAAAACTTTTAATGAAATTGCATATTAAATAACGATTTATTAATCTTAAAAAATTTTTTAAATTTTTATTTTTGTGCTGCATTAATTCATATTTCTCACAGTGTTGTAAAATGTTTTGTGTTTAACAGTAATGTTATTAACATCTGTATTATAGTTATCAAAGGTTTATAATACGTTTATGAATAATGTGCATTATAAGGCCATTATAAAGTTAAAATACATTTTAACTAAAATGTATTTAAAAAGCATTTTAAGAAATTTTTATGAATAACACAGTATATCTTTTTGTTATCCTTAAAATTTTACACTTAAATCGGTATTTTACCAAGTAAATAAAATAAATACTTCTAGCTTAGGTTAGGTTAGGTTGTAGTAGCGGCCTTACGTCTTTAGCCCATTTTAGCTCAAATAATGACCCGTTGTATCATCACTGGTTAGCG